CCCTCCCTCTCCTTCCCCTTCCTCTTTGCCAGCATCCTCTTCTTCTTTGTCATCTCCCCCTTTTTCTTCTTCTTCCCCTTCCCCTTCTTCTTCTTCTTCTTCTTCTTCTTCTTCTTAGCTGTTTGGTTGAGTGTTTACCTCTTAACGTGGAGGTCGCGTGTTCGATCCTTGGATCGGTGCGGACGGACAGATTGTTGTCTGGAGTGAGAATGCAATTCTTCTTCTTCTTCTTCCCTTTCTTCGTCTTCGAAAGGCAGTTGGCCACTGTTTTCACTATTCACTATTCTTCTTCTTCTTCTTCTTCTTCATCTGCCTCCTCTAGTTTGTCTTCCTCTTCCCACGCCGGCTGAGATCGGCCCCTCCTTTATCTTCGTTGTCCATATTGGGACGTCGGCAGCTTCGTGCATTCTCTCCTCCCAGTCCCCCTTCCTCTCGACGTCGTGTTGATGCTAATCTGCGGGGTTCTTTGTGGGTACAGAGACGCAGTGCACCTTGGCTGAGGAATGCATTATCAATCTATTGCGACTGCCACCGTCTGTGTACTGAAGGGTGTCCAACATAAATTTTCCTCATTGTACACATCCCTATCACCCAGATATACGTTGTCCCTTTTGTGCTCAAGGACGCTATCAGGACTGCATGACGCTGCACTGTGATGAACGTCCTTCTGTTCTTTTGCCATGTGGACCGACAGACAGCATGTCCACATGTCAGGACTGTTTTGATGGGATGGGATGGGATGGTCCGTGCTAGCCGTCCTGCTGAATGCTGTGTAGTGCTGGCGCAGCTCTCCTAGGGTATGCTTGTGAACAAACATCCACGTCATCCTCAGCGTGCCTGTCCTATCTGCCGGGCTGGGGTGGGGGATCCTCTTCTTCTTCCTCTTCCTGACTGGTCTATAGAATCAAGCGATCAGGAGCAACACTAATTGTTGCAGGACAGATACCAACAGATAGTGTTTTTTCTTTCGACGCTACGAACAGATACGGAGCTGAAGAAAGGAGAAAGAAAAAAAAATGAAAAAACGAAAAGAAAAAAAAGAAAAAAAGAACAAATTGTTGAAGAAAAGAAAAAAGGAAACAAGGAAAAAGAAAATAAGATGTTGAACTTTGTTGTGACAGTGGCAATTGGTTTATCTGTGGGATGTGTGTCATTTGCTTTGTTTGACTGATAGGCCTTCTTCCTGTTCCCTTGTCCTTTCTTGCTTTGACTGGATCCCTTTCTCTTTCTCTTGCCTCTGTGAGGTCTGGTTTCCTCCTCCTTTTCTTTACCTCTTTTTTGTCTTTTGGCTGCGTGCAAGTGGGTCCTTGTGACACACGGGGATGGGGCCAGCCAGCGCTCAACCTGTCATCCAC